ATATATATATATATGTATCTATTTTTGTTTATGTTTATTTATATTTGTTTATATCTTTCTATATTTATTTATATTTATTTTATTTATTTTTTTTCTATGTAATTATTCCTTTATGTATATGTTTTTAAATCCTATTTTTTATGTATGTATTTGTTTCTTTATGTCGATATTCATTTATTCACTTTTTTATGTATCATTTACTAAAATACTAGTACGTTATTATTATACTTTAACATACTAATACTTGATCTGCTAGAACGTACTATGATGACTGGTTCTTGATTGATTGGTTGGTTTGTTGGTGGGTGGGTTGGTCGGTCGGTCGGTCGGTCACTCAGTCAGTTGGCTGGTTGACTGGTCGATATTTTTGTGTAACGTGTATATATATATATATATATATATACACACATGCACAGAAAATAGCACATTGCGGGCCCCATTTTCCATACATATATATATATATATATTTATTTATTTATTTATTTATATATGTATGCATACATAGAGTCTTGTATGGATACGCAGATACACATTACTTTCTTTGGGGGGGTTTAATAGGGTTTGGGTTTATATTTAGGGTGTGAGATTTAGGGTGTGGGCTTCAGGGTTGAGAATTTTCGACTTTAAGCGTGAGGGGCATTCTTGCCTCATGCCCTTTCTCTGGGTTTGTCCATGCCCCAGACCGTTGGCAGTGTGAGGGTTAGCACCGGCTATGGTCGTGGTCGTCGTCGTCGTCGCCGTCGCCAGTGAATCGTCCTCCTTAACCGTCACCTCTAGAAAAAAGAGAGAGTGAGACCTAAAGCCTAAACCGCTTGTGCGAGGATGTACGAGCAGAAGGCGTCTGAGGCTTTCGATGCCCTGCTGATGCAGCCGCTGGGGAGATCGTAGGATCCTGCCCATCGAACCACGCTTGAACCCTAGAGTAACGCTACAATTTTGGGGATTTCATTCGAGGATTTCCTTGAAAGCGCATAGGCTTGAGTTTAGACAAGCCCTCCATTCTGTGGTTGGAGTAGGGTGTAGATTCAGGTCCCTGCACCGCTTCAGAATATGGAGTAGATGGACAAGCAAAGCCTGAGCACTGTGGACTTCTTCTAGATATATGGTAAAACACATCTCGCATTGACAACACGACTCTAAACCCTAAGCCAGAGACTCTATAGAAAAAATCACAGGGAGACGGAAATCCGTTGGCATATTTGCAGCCAGTTTCACTCGCAGTTTGAAGCTCTAGCGTAGCGTAGCATCGATTTCCAGATGACCGCGCCACTGACTGCGGCTGAGGATGGCCCACCCGCCTCTCAAAACATCTGCGCGGATGGTAGGTCCCAAGTTGATTGTTTGGGGTGGTAGGGTTTAGGATTTAGGGTTAGGGTTTAGGGTTCGTAGCAAAGTGAGCCTGAAACCAGGTCTTGCTGGGCTGCAAGGCGCAACCAACAAGCTGCATAATGTAAGGAAGGGGCCTAAATACTGTTGTTACCAAGTCAATACTTCGCTGTAGGGCTCCCCCGGAGAATTTTATTCCCTTACAGCCCGGGACCCCTATGCCGGGTGGCCGGTGACGTATGCGGAAGTCCTTGCCCGCAGGAGGTGCACAGAAAGAACAAGGGGTTCAACACAGTCGCTTGAGAAGCTTAACCCCGCTCAACATCAACACTGTCTTACTCTTCACACTTTCTGCGTGGGATGTTTGTGTGTGCGCGCGCAAATGTTACAGTCATCTGTGTAATCCTGGGGCTGATTCAATAACGGCACTTCCGACTCAGCTTGAGGCATTATAATTATCTCGCTACTGTTGCAGAGAGCATGCTTTGCGTCAACACGGACTGCTGAATCTATTGGCTCTGCAAGGCAGCCGCCAACAGACTAAACCTCATATTGGAGCCTCAACTCACCTACACGAGCATGTAGCATGGACCTGCAACATAACATTCTAACAGGCGGCCGTCGTTGTGAACCCGTAGCCCCGGCTGCGCTGAGCGTGCAAAGCCATGCTGTCCAACATCGTCCGCAGCACCACGCGCCAGCGCGCCCGGGTTTTCCTACAGGATGCTGGGATCGAAGCCTCAAGTAGGGCTAACCTTTCTGCCAAAAGGCCTACTTTTTCAGGAGCTATATATAGAAACCATAATAAGGAACCTTGAAAAGGTAGGTCTTTTCGGCTACAGGAAGTCCCCTGATCCTCCCAGTCTAGATCCCTTTAATAAAGGAGCCCTTTCAGGAAGCCTTGAAGTTTTACTCAGTCCCCTGATTTTCCAAGTCTACAAGGATGCGTCGTTCCGCAACCCTAAACCCTAAACCCTAAACCCTAAACCCTAAACCCTAAACCCCTAAACCCTAAACCCTAAACCCCGTCCGACACCGCAGATGCAGCTCGCAACCCGCAGCTGCCAGAGCCTGCCTGGCCCTGTCCGGTCGCGGCCGGTGCTTTGCTGGAGACGTGCTTTGGGTGCTTCCCTGCTACTGGCCTCTTGCGGCCAGATTCTGGAGCACCCTACTTTGCTTGTCATGTTCGTGATTATACTTATTGATTGTTTCTTTATTACATATATGTAGACACGTATGCTGTACTGTTTGTTGGTGTATAGGTGTTTATTTATGGTGTTTTTTTGGACTTTGCTGATAAGCGGTAGAAGTCTCGACTGTAAAGTCCCGAGCTTCGGGTGAGTCCACGGCCCAGGTGGCATGCTTGCAGCACCCACGGCCTTCTCGCTCCGCCGTTCCGATGGGCCCGCAAAGTGCGAGGAGAGCGCTGTGCAGAGCGACAAGGGCCAGGACGTACTTGTAATCCCCAAAACCCTACAAAGAAAACCCTACAAAGTAGTAGGTTCTGACCCCTTTATCATACAAGGCTTATCTAGTCAATCGAGGGTACGGTACCCCTAAACCCTACTAAATAGTAGGCTCTGGCCCCCGTGTTATAGGGTATGAACCTAAAACATAATGTAGGAGCCTTTATAATTACCTACAGTGTTTTTTTGGGTGGGTTCCTGGTATGGTATAAGATACCCCCAAACCCTATGCTAATTACTAAGGCCCCTACATTATGTAGTAAGTTTTTGGATCCACAGGATGCAAAGGCCAAGAGCAGCCCCGTTGCAACGGTCCTCAAGGCCGGATAAGTGTTTGCGGTTTAGGGAGTCTAGGGTTTAGGGAATTTAGGGTTTAGGGCTCAGGGAGTTTAGGGTTCAGGGAGTTTAGGGTTTAGGGAATTTAGGGTTTAGGGAATTTAGGGTTTAGAGTTCCAGGAGTTTAGGGTTCAAGGAGTTTAGGGTTTGGGGTTCTTCAAGGGATCCTAGAATGGATTAAAAAAGGGTTCGCGAGGCTGCACTTCGGAAAACTTGTTAGTATCACTGTATGGTTCCTATAGAGGTACCTGCTCCTAAATCCTTTTAACGGCTCCAAAACTACAACCCAGTTCAGGGCAGAAGGGTTAGAGAAGGCCGGCTAGCTGCCGGGTTTTCAGTGTTACAAGATGAAGGTTTTGCATCAGCGGTTTAGGGTTCGGGCTTTAGGGTTTAGGGTACGAGGTGCTACTTTCGGGGCAACGCTAAACAACTAAACCCTTGATGCTCGCCCGCCTTCGTTTCGGAAGTCATACGTCCTTAAGAGTGGATGCGAGGGGAGCAGCAAGCAACACCCTTGCAGGAGGAAGCTGCAGGAACTATACGAGGGGTACTACTTGCTATGGTTGTTTAATAACCCTAAACCCTAAACCCTAAACCCTAATCCCTAATCTACTTGGCCACTGCCGAGTTTCTTGATTCTGGCTCAAAGCACAGGCGCGAACCCTGGGGATGGTGGGGCTCAAGGTATAATTTCTGGAGGCCCCAGAGCTAAATCCTACATCCCAAGCCTTGAACCCCATGGCCTAAACTCAGCTATAAACCTCAGACCCCCAAATATCGGAAAGCCCTTATAGTCCTCTAGTAATCCTGATAGTACCCCCAAACCCTAAACCCTAAACCCCCTAAGAGCCCAAAATCCCGGATCCCATGGCGCAAACCCAACTCTAGCCTGGCTTTAGGGTTTAGGGTTTAAGGGTTTATGGTTTAGGGTTTAGGGTTTCTTCTAAGGCCTTCAAGCAAAACCATGGAAATAAACACACATCGTGAGACCCCCAATATAGGGTTTACCAGCATCCCCCCAATTACCCTTTGTCATACCCTAAATACCCACTATTAAGGACCATAAGGGCTCTATTAAAGGGTACTTGGGGGGTGCTGGTAGGGTTTGTAGGGTTTAGGGTTTGTAGTATAGTAGACCCCAAAACCCTACTCTAAGTATGTAGGCCCCTATATTAATATTCAAATACCCTAGACTCTATACGAACCCTCTTCAGAACCTGCATAAAATTTGTGGGTAAGTAACTCTCTTCAGAACCTTTACATTATGGAACCCTTAAAGGAACCCTGGGTACCTCCTAAAGCCTGGACGTGTACATGTATATATATATATATATATATATATGTATACATATGCATTCATAACAGCAATAATACTTGTAGTAATATTAATTATCTTAGAGGGCGAGCTAATTTGTGTATGTATATATATATATATACATACACATACTTACATGCATACATCCTAAACCCTCAAGTCAAAACCCTAACAAAACCCTAAGCCCCATCCCTAAACCCTAAACGCCCCAGACCTCAACACCGATACCAGATCTTATATGCTGGGTGTCGGTTCTCCAAAAGGTCTCCGCGGCCCTCTTCTGCTGGGGACTCTTTGCCGGCTTATGGCCGACGGCTTGGACTTTGGATTATGTGTTTAGGGTTTAGGGTTTGTGTGGGTTATGTCTAAATGTTTTGTAGGTGTTTGCGATCGGCTTTTTACATGTCGAATGGTGTTTCCATGGAGGGTTTATGGTGGCTGTAGCGGTTTATAGTGCATGTTTCCAGGCGTTGTTTGGGGATTCAAAAGTGGTTTTCAGGACTCCTAAGATGGAAGCCTAAATGATGACCAATATTATTGCTTGGTATGTTGCACAATCTTCTAAGGAACGCCTTCTTGGTTTTCGTAGCCGCGGGACAGTGACACTGCAAAAAGAACAACAAGAAACCAGTAGCAGCAGGTAGCCATATCGACCACTGTTGGCAAACGCGTTACTTGGAAAATACACCTGTCGGCCTCCCCCTCGTGTCCGCTCTCTTGGAGTGGTGTTTGTTGTGCTTACCCTGATCTTCTGGTGGCACTGCGGGAGCACGCTGCGGAGAGACATCGCGTGTGCAACCATCAGGATGACCCCGTACTGGAGCAACGGATCTTGCCATGGCACAGCGGAAAATGAGGACAACGAGACTCCCTTACCGAAACCGATAGAAAGCCCATGAGCAATTTTCTAAGTAGAGCTTGCATAGCCCTTCTGAAAAATCCTGACCCGGAACCTTTCAAGCCTTAACCATAAGCTCGCAACACTAAAAACCTAAACCCCAAGCCCTAAACCCCAAACCCCAAACCCTCAACCCTGAACCCTAAACCCTAACACCTAAACCCCCTAAGCCCAGGTTTGCCTCCATAACGCTGCCTGCGGCCCTCGTCTGGGCCGCATCCACAGGCCGCTGGAAGGCCGGTGAGGGGAGTTTCGGGGGGTTTAGGACTTTAGGACTCTGGGGTTTAGGGTTTAGGGTTTAGGGTTTAGGGTTTAGGGTTTAGGGTTTAGGGTTTAGGGGTGTAGGGTTTTGGGGGCTTTAGGACTCGAGGACTTTGGGGCTTAGGGTTTAGGGTCTAGCGTTCAGGGTTTAGGGTTTGGGGTGTAGAGTTTTGGGAGCTTTAGGACTTTGGGGTTACATCCCTGCCCGGTCAGTGTACTAGAGATGACAGAAACACTGGGACATGCCTCCGAAACTGCCGTTGTGTGATCGAGGAGCCGTAGAGCAGCTTCAGTTCTACCAGGTTGCAGCCCAGGCAAGATGTTGCAGCTTTGGATGCTTTCGGGAAGAGCAGTGGCAAGCATATGCGTAGAAGAGCTAGAGGAGCTGAGCGACATCAGGGGTTTGAAGCAGCATACAATTTTCAACATCTGTTGATTTGAGCCACAGGTCTTTTCAAGTCGCAGAATACAGTAGAGAGGTCCTGAATCAATTAGCAACAATATCCCTTTTGTGTCCCACATTGTCGTAACAGCACAACCCAGAAGGCTCGATATTGATCCGACCCCTGGCGATAGCCCGTAAAATACGTAGAGTCCCGTGAACTACTAAGGCACATTAGGTTTCGGGAGTCTTTGAAGTTTCAACCTTCCCGGCAGGTTGTCTCATCGATCTTCGCAGCTTACTGCCGCCGGGCGGTCTGTTTTGGGGGGAGGAGTAAAAAGAGTGTGGATTTTAGGGTTTGCGGCTCAGGGTTTCAGCGTTTAGAATTTTGGGTTAAGGCCACAAGAAAGCACAGTCAGTCAGTTCCATTCGCCAAGAAGTCGCATGTGCCCCATACCTGTAGCCCCAAACGGTACAGCATCGAACGGCATGACTCCTGAATTACACCCCGAGCCCTTTCACCGTGGCGCCTTTGTAAGGGTCTGACCGTTGAGGATAATATGGGTGGTTCTCAAAAAATAGGATGCCTTTTTTTTACGTCCCTAGTAAAGCACGGCACCCTTATAACAAGGAAACTAACAAGGACCCTACTTTAGAGAACCACTCATATAGAGACCTGGACAGTTACCAGCAGTATTCCCTTGTAAGGGTCCTTATAACATACCCCGTTAGGGTTTAGGGGCTTATACATGAGGGTTTAGGGTGCAAAGCCTTATTCTAATGACACAGGCCCCTAGATTGGCTCTGTGATGGAATCCTGGCTTTTTCGAAGCTCCAAACGCCCTCACTCAGTCCGACAGCCTGGAGCTTTGAGTTTACGATTCATAACGGTTTAGGGTTTACATGGAGCTATGGGTTGAGGATAAAGTGTTTTGGCACGATGGTTTTGGTCGCTCAGTGACTTCAACCCATATACAACAAAACTACAAAACATACTAAATCTCTTGATCTCAGTTCATACGTTTTGAGGTCTTTGTGTTTGAGGGTTCCTGGTTTAGGATTCAGGGCATATAGGGTCTAGGTCTAGGATCCCGATAGGAGGCTCAGTCTTCGGTGCTTCGATATTCTGGGCTTGAGGGTTTGGGGTTTAGGGTTTGGTAGGAACCTGATGATGAAAGCCTGGCCCTATAAGCCCAAAATCTTAGGATCAAAGGCCCAGGGGTTTCTTGAAGAAGGTTCCTACATTAGGGTGCATAGCGTGGGGCGGGACCCACACTTGAACCTCGCTGCAGTATTTCTACTGCAACCAAGGGCCCCTAGAATCCGGGCTTCTGCTCTCGACACGGTTTTAGGGTTTAGGGTTTAGGGTTGACACTGGACCTCCCCTCAACTTGCAGCAAGCATCGACACGCTCACCTTTGAAACGGGACAGCAAAACAACCTACACTGCATTCCAGCTACAACCCCAACCTTTCAACACTTTACAGCAAGCTCTAAATGCGTGTACACCCTAAGCCCAGAGTCCTCAACCCTAGACTATTATGATGGAGCTCTTGAGAAGCCGCCATAGAACCCTTGAAGAAAACCCTAACCCCTGAACCCTAATCCCTAATCCTAAACCCTAAACCCAAAACCGTAATCCCAAAACCCGAAAACCCTAAGCCTAAACCTTAAACCCTGAACCCTAAACCTCTAAACCTAAACCCGGAGCCCTTAACCCTCTGAGGCTTCCCGCACATGGTGCAGCTTCCTGCCTTGCCCCGCAGCATCCGTCACGGCTTTTGGGTGGGC